TCAGCTTTTTGATAACTAAATATTATACTCTTTTGCCCAACTTTTTCCAAATTCCTTCCGGATCCTTTCTTACATTCCATTCCATTTAAAAGTAGTAAACAAAAGATCAACACCTTATATTGAAATCGAGTGTGTAATCTTAAATAACATGGGTGATAAATATTCAGGATGCAGTGATTATAAAGTTTTCATTAGTGCCGACGTTTCAACCCAAACATGTGGGTCATCATCAGGGCGTTGTTCGAGCACTGAAGGTATTCAAGTACTGACACCTTCAGTATTAGATCTAGAGTTTTATCATAATAGAGATTGTATTGTAATAGATGCACTACCCCACTCTAAAATAAATAAAATAATGAGAACGTAGAATAACAAAAGTACAATGTCCTCCAATTCTAAGCTATTTAAATTAAAACAGTTGTTTCAAAAATAGAATGCATACAATTTTTAACACTTTTGAGTTGGTAAATATAATTATTTTAGGGCTAGAAAAGCACATTACATAAATAGTTTAAAGATTGATTGTTTACGACTTATTTTTTATAGACCTTTATCTATGAAAATTTTAGAGGCAAATTCCTTTTCTAGATCATTAGCTTATGTTTATGTTCAGTGTTAATTTCATAATTTTAAATGAAAAATATTCAAGTGTTCGTTTGGAGCTTAAAATTTAATACAGTTTTATTTTACAATTTTTTTTTAAAGGTACGAGTCATACAGGATCCGCTTAGTTGGTCAGTAAGCCTGACGTGGTATGGCGACTGGCCAATTTTGGTTTCTGTACAGATACTTTCTTATTTAAAAAAAAACAACTGATTTATAATTCCGTTTTCTGACGGATAGTTTCCTTGATCAAGCTCAAAGGATATGATTCAAACAATAATTGAAATTCTCTCTCTCTCTCTCTCTCTCTCTCTCTCTCTCTCTCTCTCTCTCTCTCTCTCTCTCTCTCTCCCCCTCTCTCTCTCTCTCTCTCTATATATATATATATATATATATACTTAGAGATATTATCAAAATATATTACTCAAATGATGGTATTGTGGTTTTACTTATCAAACCGCACACACGGCAAACAGCAAATATTAATTTTTTCATATTATATGGGATTTGTACATACTGAAATCTGTTGAGGAAATCTCGTGTATATGGAAGATTACAATCAATTTAATGGAGGGGATAAATTATTACTAAATCTTTATGAGCCAATACTTGAAAACCTTTCAGAGCTCGAACCACGCCCTGATGATGACCCATATGTTTGGGTTGAAACGTCGGCACAAATAAAATTTTTTTTATAATGACTGCGTCCTGAATATTTATCACACATGATATGTAGAACAGTCGACTAGCTTCCTTAAATAATTCATTAAATCTTTAAAAAATTAAGAATAATTACCATCCCGTGATACTCGTGAGTTCGTCAGTGAAGTCAGTGACACTCAAAGAAGAAGAGAGTTAAAAGGTGAAAGTTCCTCGCTATGGCTAAATGCTATGGAAGATTTGGTCGGCAAATGAGAATATTATTTGCTCGATAATTCTTTCCGTGGAAGAGAAGTCATAAAAGAAAAAGAAAAAAAGGCATTACCGCCAAGCAAGATGCTCCGACAATTTACGCCTTCGGCCCGAATAGTCCCCTAATATCCTTCCCTCCACTTTAGGAATATTTCCATGTCATTATCTATGTAAAGGTTTTTATATTTATTTAATTTTTGTCCCATAATTTTATAATATTAAGGATATTTCTGTTTTGTTAAATTTATTTACCGCATCAAGATTATTTTCAAAATACAAACACATATCGCTCAATCGAGATAACAACGACGAAAATGCAAATCGTACAAGTTTATAGTAGAGGAAAAATAATTAGAATTATTATTATACATAAATCACAAAGTTTTAAAAATTTATTGTATTATTTTAAAATGTTGATATCCATTCAAATTTTGATTATATTATACTATGAGATTGATTCAATTAATACCTCTTTCTGAGAAAGATTTACTTAAAATTTAATTGCGTCATTGTTCCACCTAATGAACAATATAAAACTTAATTTTTAATGGATCCGTTGATATAATAAAAAATATTTCATAGTAAATGAAAAGTAAAATAAAATAATTTGACGAAAAATAAAATGTAGCTCGTTACTTTCCAAAGCTATATAACTTAAACTTGATTTTATTAAAATATGTAACTTAATTGGAGGTGAAAATTTGAAATGAAAAAGTAAAAATTTTAAATATTAATATACTATTACAATTTATAAATTTATTGTTTTATAAAAAATAATTAATAAAAAAGAAACTACATTTAATAAAAGACAAAAAAAAAACACATGAATTAAAAAATATATTATTTTACAATTGTAACTTTATTTTTTTTTTTTAATGCTAAAGACAAGTATTGCTTTTGACAAAAAAAAGTTTTCTGTTTGTTAGCTTATCCTGCGTATGATTTATTATCTTAACTGCTCATAACAATTTTACTCTATAAATATATTATGTAAATATATTAACTCAATTAAACATAAAATAATTATTTTTCAAACCACTTTATCAAACTTTCTTCTTTGTCAAAAAAGTGTTAAATATAAAAGATTTAAAAGTCAATTTGCATTTAAAAAATCGTAGGTTATTTTGAAGATAAATGTTTGATGTATTAAAAAAGAATAAGAATTTAAAACAATGAAATTGTTTCTCCTGACGGTTTTATACAATAATATTACGTGATAAGAATTAGTTATTTATATAGTTTGGTTATTTATATAATTTAAAACAATTTATAAAATTATTCCTTGTGGTAATATCATTATTGATAATAAAATACTGGAAGACAGCCAGTGTATACAGATCAACGTCATCTAGTACTGATGACCCCATAACCTCAAGATAAGAAATTGAGATAATAAGGAAGTTTCTAAGCGTTATTTATTTATTTTATTCAAATCATAATTGTTCATTACATCTCTTTTGTATTTTATATAACAAAATAAATTGAATAATAAATTTATTACTTGCTTTCTCTACTGAAAAAGTAAACTAAAAGAAAGGTAAAGTTTGAAAAAGAAATACATGATTCTGTTCCAACAAGTTCCAACGGATGGAAACAATTTCAAAAAGGCATAAAACGATTTCCTCTCCCCCTAGTTGTTCAACTGTTATTAATACTGTTACGACCTTCAACTTCGGTCATTCCTTCAGAAAACAGAATCTCAAGACGAAGGAAGGAATAGAAAGGAAAAAAAAAAGAGAAAGAAAGAAAGACAATAGGAAGAGATTGGGTGGCAGAAACAATAGGGCACAGCAAATGTTCCCTTTCCACCAACGGCCATTATTAACAGTTTTATAACTCGTAAAATAAAAGAAAAAATAAGCAATCGTTTTGTCTTCTTTCTTTATTTTCAACTAACTGGCATTAAAGGTGCCATTGTTTTGAAAAATGAAAAATAGCGGTTTGCAAATTGTTTGAGACTGGCCTACTTTGTTCTTGAAGGCTAAAAAATATTGCAGAGCCTACACAATATATATAGTATGTATATATATTATGCACATATATGTTTTACAAACCAATCTTTATATTATAGACACAAATAAATTATTAAATACTCAAACGGAATAAAAGCTAGAATGATAATCAAATATATTTATTAAACATAAAAATTAAATACCAACATTTAATGTATATTAACGTATACGTTGAGCAGTGAAAATAAACTTAAATAATTATGATATGGAATATTTTATTCAAAAGATTACAAAAAAAAAAAAAAAAAAAAAAAAAAAAAAAAAATTAGAAACATTTTTGAGTCTCGTAAAATAACCTTTATTTATCAGAAATTATAGACATCTAACAGAAGCGTTTAGTTTGTTTAACTTAGATCAACTTAAATACAGTATAACGTCGATGTACCCTTAGAAAACAAAATAGTGCTTCCTTAAAAGAACCTGGATGAGAAAATTATTTTGTTATAAATTTAAAATAAATTAAACTTCAATATATCACACATACAAAAGTTTTATAAACATGTTTACAATAAAATCGATGAAAATTTCAACACATACAAATAATGGCGAACATTAATATCCAAGACAACACTTACTAAATGCTAAAAAAAAAAAGTGAGTGACCTAAAATTCTTATTTGACTTATAATAATAATAAATCATTCTACTACACGATTTTAGGGCCTTTGAGTAACGCGAACAATTTGAAAAAATATTCTAAAATTAACAAATAGAGAAAATATAAACACGAAATAATAATAAACAAAAACCGAACAAATAATTTATATGCATATTTAGAGACACACTTATTTAAATTTTTTTGTGAATTAGATGGATAAGAAAAGGTTGAATAGGCGGAATTTAAATGTAGTGAGGGTACTGGAGCCTCCAGAATACGATAACTGATTATGTGAATGTAAACAAGAGTGCTTCGAATTAATACAATATATACAAGATACCACTACTTACACTATTCTGTTTGTCGATATCTGCTAATATTGTCAATAAATTACAGTTTAAAAAAAATAAATAAAATTTATTAATTTCCTAATGAACTTCGATTTATGAAAATTAATTTTATATTATATATTAAAAGGTTTTGTAGGATGAAAAGACATTTAATTATATTATTTTAAGAAGGAGCGTTATGCACGAATCATCTTTTTTCATAACGGTGTCTTACTATCTTGGGTATCGTTTTTAAAAATATTTATAATGGGGCAATTAATTATTTCCAACTAAGGTTCATCTTTCATATTCCTTGACATTATATCTCCGATAGATCCTCTCCGACGTAATTTTCTTCGCCCACTCCCAGAGACCTCCAATAAATAAGGTCATCGATATCTTGCTATTACGTTGCTAACAGCGCTTCTTTCCCGAGGGATCCGACTCGGGAATCTGTGAAAGTGAGGCTGCGTTGCCTGTTAATTAAAAGGAGAAGAGGGAACCTGTTGGGCCTCTTGTGAAAGCGATAGGTCACACTCCAGGATTGATGGTAGCTGCGCAAAAGGGAAGATGCGTCCCAGCTTTTGCAACAGCAGCTATGGAGGAATTGATTTCAACACCCTTACGTAAGGCAACTTGTGTGGAATTTGTTGTGGGGCAGAGTTAATAGAAAATAACGTTGTGTAAGCATTATAAATGCTATCTTCAGTGAATAAAATTAAAACCAAGAACAAGATTCTCTTGGGTTATCGCTTGACGGATCACCGCCATACAATAATAATAAAAAATAACCTATTAGATATCAATTTAAGGAAATGCAAAATATCCATTTATGCATAGTTTCAATTTTTTTATAACTTAAGATATTCTATCAGAATATAAAATCTTTGGAAAAAAGATATAATAAATTTGGATAATTAATTAGAACAAACAATAAAATAGTTTAAGCTGTATGGTCTGTAGATACTTTTTTGAAGAATTTGTATAGAATATTGCTGTGATAACCTTATATTAAATTTAATAATTTTAATCTTTATTGAAGAATTGACCAGAAATAGATATTGGTCTTTAAATTCCAAACTCTTCGGCCACCAATCCTCAAGTTTATAACCTTCCATCCAAAACAATTTTTGACAACCCTTCGAGGCGTCTGAATAGAAGATGGCCAAGGGACCTCCTAAATTAAACTAAGTTTTGCCAGTGTTTCCAATGGGTAGTTTCCCCACAAGTTTTTATCATGTTTTATACTCTTGTAGCAGATTTACTTGTGTATGTGTATAAAGTTGTAATATTGAAGAAAGTTAGTCGACTGTTCTACATATCATGGGTGATAAATATTCAGGACTAATTCTTTTTTTTTTTTTTTTTAATTTTTTATTTATGCCAACGTTTCAACTCAAACATGTGGGTCATCTTCAGAGCTGAAAATTTTTCACTTTTGGCATAAATAAAGAATTAACGTTAGCATAAATAAGAAATTAAAATTAAAAAAAAAAAAAGACCATCCATAATATTTATCACCCATATAAAGTTGTAAATATCAATAAATAAATAAAAAATAATTCTAATATGTGGTCCTATATATTTAAAAAATACCTTAATGAGCGAATAACATTAGTTTTTAGTTATTTCTCTTTAAAAAAAATCAGTTGTTTTAAAACTTATGTTTCATATTAATGGTACTATAAATAACAAAGTGTTGTTAATTATAGTATCTTAGCAGGAGTATTAAATGTATTTTTTTTTTTTAGTGTTGATTGAAGATCATCCTAATACAAATTTCACTTTTAATTGTTTTTAGGAAAATATGAAAAAATACTTATAAGTGAATACAACTATTTTCCTTAGTAAGAAAATAAATATAATTTGGCATCTTGGCATGCCTTCTACGTAGACCTAATATATCCAAATAAAACCTTCAAAATTAAAGAAATTTAAACATTTTCAAATTCACATAAATAAATCTAAATTTAAAACTTAATTGATTAGTTTAACACAAAAAACATTCATTTTTTAATAACTATTTAATTGTTTTAATTTGTATGAATTATAGTATATATCATATTGTCCAGTTACGCCTATTATCTAGTATCATAAGCAGGTAACATGTTGAAAAAAATGTCTTTTCCGTTAAGTCGATTCCAATATGTTTAAAAGATTGTCTCAGGGCTGTACTAATATTTATATTTAAGAGAGCTGCAGTAGATTAATTTTCAAATCTGGCTGATAGTTCCTGAAATTTAGAGCGTTCAAACAAAAAGCTTTTCAGATAATTTGTAACGGTAAAGGAATTTTATAAATAATTATAACGATTTTACAGCGCTCTATCGATAATAACGATATCGATTTTGTAAACAGGGGGGATATAATAGGAAGGTTAATTAATAATATAGCCGACCCTACCTGTGTACTTTCAATATTAGAGATTATTAGCTTTGGGAAGAGAAACAATTAAGGTGAGGGTGTTTTTGTTGACCGGTAGCTCCCACCACTCAACTAACTCAATCCACCTGACAGCCTTCCCAGTTCCTCCTCCTCTAACCGGCGAACCGATTTCGAGGATAACTTTATCTAAACCAGCAAATTGGGGAGGAAGTGTTCTTTTTTACATTTCAGACCACCGATGAGATAAAATTCAGTATGTTGACATCATCTGAAATAGAACTTGAATTTCATTAAACCGCAGCCATGGTATTAAGGTATATTTTCTTAAGGCTCTTGCACAATGAGGATATTCTTGTCGGCGGCGATATAGTTGTATTAGTATAGCAGTCACACAGAGCGAAATGATAATTAAACGCAGCGATACCCCACTAAGGGATATCGCAAATAACGGAGTGGAACAGAACTCGCGACATCGATTAAATTCCAAATTAAAAAAAAAAAAAAATGTTAACTATTCAATAAAAAAAACGTGAAAAATGCATATTCTGCCAAATGAAAATATTCTCACGAATTCCAGAAGTTATCAATAAAATCATGTATGCCCGTTTTGTGTGTAGGAGCCTTAGCATTAATAAATGAAACGACGAATACATGATGTAAATCAACTTATTTTTTTCAATATTTTGTAATACATTAAGTATTAATTTATTTTTTATAGCAAAATTAGTTGTTAGTAAAATTGTGTACATTATATTATAAGTTTTTAACACTAATTGTTTTAAGACAAAATTAAAATGAATTAATAACGTACTATTAAAAAAAGGCCAATGTCCTTACAAAGAGAGATTTCAATGGTATTTTATAAAGTTAACTTAGGCAAATTAGCGGAAATGTTATGTTATATTAAAAAAAGGAATGTATAAAGATAATAAAAACAATATCGAGAAGTTGTTACGAGTTCGAGTTTAGCATTGATCCCCCGCCCTCTCCCTTGGCTAAGGAAAAAACTGTATAGCAGAAAAGTTTAGGTAAGCGGGGATAAAAAAATTATAACAAAATATAAGACGATACAATTAATTATTGTGAACTATAATAATGGCCTGATTTAAAAAAAGTTTTTCTTTCTTTAAAAAAAGAACGAATTATGGATTAAATGTGTTGTATTAAATTATTGTATATGCATGTAAATTTTCAAAGCAATAAAATGTGATTAGGTATGCACCTTTGATTTTGTTGGCTATAGTATTCATTTTTTTTTTTAATATGATGCTGAATTAAATAACATAAAAATTAATTGATGCACATAGAAAGAACTCACTCATTAATTTGTCTCCTCAGCCTAATGTCAAAAATTAAGTAAGGTTGAGATGAGATTCGCATAGATAAAAAAATCAATAAAAATCTATATATATTTTTTTTTTTGTTAGGCAGGGGATTAATACGGAACACTAAGCACTATAATTATTTAAAAAAACAAAATAAAGATGGCTGGATAAAGGCGTGGTGTAGAAGGACTCCTATCCTGGGATAATGCGGCGGAGGGAACCCAAAGGAAGGGGATTCCATCCTCATTAAAAGTTTCGAAGGAGTTGAGGGAACCGTCACCCGGAGGTAAGTTCCAAGACAGATGGCTCGGCCCAGGCAACCAAATCATTACTCCGTCTTAATACTCATTACTCCTTACCGGCGTAAACATATCACAACACCCGAGGTGGAAGAATAGATTTTTTTTTTCCTCGAGACCAGCCGCTCCGACTTACCCGGGGCAATTTGTCGACATAATCCCTGGAGCGAGGCCCGGCTATTTATCACCATGTGAGTCAGGAATACTTTGCTACGGGAAGAGGAAAAAAAAATATAAGAACGCACCCTTCGAGACGAATTTCGGAGGTCCAGGGCGTCGGAACATTTATCACGATTTATAACCCTAAAGGATATAGAGCTCACTGAGAGAGGGATTGTCTGAAACCCCTTCAGTGTTATTAATATGGAATTAAAATATTATCCGTAAGTAATTTACTTCCTCATAACTCCGTACCGATATAAAAAGGGCATTAAGATTTTTTTTATTAATTTCCATCCTCCCTCTTCATCCACAAAAAACATGATACATATTGGAAATCGATTTGACTTTATTAAATTAATCTAAGGATTCACGAGCAAGAATAGCGAATACTCCTAGGTATGAAGACCCATTTTAACCAAGTTATTAACACCCGTCTTCCTGAATTACTTTATTTTTTCTTAACCTAAAACTTTTTAATTTGCGAAAATTCTTGGAAAAGGGGCGTTTTCAATCTGGATATTTCCTCTTATATCGTAGATGATTTGATCACAAAATCGAGAAAAAAATGTATGCCATCATACAAAATTTTTGGGCCGTTCGGCGAGACCTCCTTCCACATTTCAAAATAACGAGGTGGTTAGGCCACTTTTTGAAGTGAAAATTTCTTTAGGTTGTTGCACTTTCTTTGTAAAGAGTGAATTAGATTGAACCGTCAGATCTTCGATGCTCAATGCTTGGATACGGTTAGTCAACAAATTGAAATGTTTTTGCATATGGATTAAAATATCTCAGAAACTAAAAATTCTACCTCCATACTGTAAGCAAGGGAAATATTAATCATTTCATCCTCTTTGTAATGAGATATTATTTATAATTTATATATCAAATGATTAATCTCGCCTTGTTAACTTCTATCGTGTGGTCTAAAGCACACAGCTTAGTTTTTTTAATTTATTTTGTGTTTAAATTATCTTAAGATTCAAGTGGAAAGCAAATGGGTATACATGTATTTTTATTATCTCACCAAATTAATTAAATTAATGAGAAAACGCCTCATTTCCGAGATTTTTCGTAGACAAAAAGAAGTAGGTTAGAAGTATGGTTGTTAATAATTTGATGAAAAGGGGTTTGTACCGCGTGCTAGAAAACTCCTGGATTTTTCTGATGAACATTCCCAAGCATAATTATTTGATGAACCTTGCCTCCCAAGTATCGATGTAGTGGCATCAATATATTTAAGAGAACGGAGGGGTAACGTGTAGGACGAAAAGTTGCCAGACATAAGAATTTAATGGAGAGTCAGAACAAAGTAAGTTTAACGACAGCGGAGGTAGTTAGGGTTCCCATTAAAGGTTTAGAGGATCGTTACAGGCCTGTCCACCGAAAGGGGAGTTAATCTTTAACGAAATCTCTCTCCCGTAACTCTCTCGGAGAGTATTCGCAATGGCAAAAACAGAACAAAAAAAAAAAAAAAATGGAATAAAAAGTAATCCTCCACGAAGAGGTCTTAATGGGTTGGGATTTACGAGAAGAGAGCTCGTAAAAGCAGGTACAGAGAGGCTGGGATAAGTAGCGCGAGGAATATAGGGATCGTCACAGCGAGAGAGCAGGTCGGCCACTGGGTCTCGGGTCTTCGGAGCCGTTCTCTCCAGCAAAAGGATTAATTTATTTCGTCGAAACAACATTTATGAGCATTATATATATATATATATATATATATATATATATATATTATATATATATATATATATATATATATATATATACACATACATATACAACTCATGATGGGTTTTGGGTTCAATACTAAGGCCTAAAGATGTGCAGGGCAGGGCTGTGATAGGACCGAGATCAGGCTCAACCGCCATGTTTTTCCCTTAATTATTTTTTAAAATTAAAATTAACCTTTTTATAAACACTGCGGCAGCCGCAGGAGAATTTCATCATCACAGGTTGGATTTCGCTGTTTTTTTTTTTTCTTCAAATTTCTTTATTATGTAATATTACATTTTGTCACAGCCAAGGTCATTAACAATAGTGGTAGAGCAGCGCATTCACACTCTATATAAAATAAATAAAAAAGAATAAACAGTAAAATAATAATACTAAAAGTAAGAATATATGTAATAAAAAAAAACAACTAAACTAATCAAAATAACAACTTTAAATACAGGAATACATTTATACAATATTTACAAAATTCATTCACTCTGGAAAACTCGGAGTCAAGTCCTTTGAGTTGAATGAGCATCTCACTCAGCCGCATTACTCGTATTAAAGGCTGATTTAACAGAATAAATAGTTAATTACCTGTCACAACCAGGTAATTTGAGCATAGGAAGTCAGTGCCTTATCCACTGAATCAGTGTTACCTTCTCTTGTTATTTAGAAAAAAAAAGTTTAGCGAACTCTGGTGTTTGACACCACCAACAGCCTTTACTTCCACTGAATTCCATTTAATTATACCGAATTATAGTAAGATTAAAAAAAAAAACAGATCGCAACACTTATACATGTGGTATTCATGAACTATTATATACATTTCTAATCTGTTTGCAGATTTTTCCTAATTTTTTTTTCTGGTTATATTTTCGAAAGTAGAAAAAAACAAAACATCTTGGTACTATGACTATTAACTACAAACTGACCTGAACTGAAATACCCCTTTTCTTTCTGTTTTCAGCTGGATAAGCCCTTATTAACCAGTTACTCAAAGACTGATTTTCCTCAAAATGAATTACTAAATGTTATTCTTTACTCTTTATTCTTACTAGTTTCATCATTTAAATGTATTTTATTTTCACCTATCTTCTGGTAATACGTCAAGATGTAATAAGTAATGACCCGGCAATGAAGCATAATATATGTTGTTCACATGTGCCTGACAACAAAGTATAACTCTCCCCCTTAAACGTGTTATTAAGCCTCCCGATTGCTACTTACACACCAGATCAATTCAAGCTCATTTTTCTTCCGTGGCTTATGTGTGTCGTGCAAGTATACCTCGGGTTATCAAGATGTAAACATCGGGAGCAACTTAATGAGAAAACTTGAAGGTTGAAACATTGTATACCTTATAGAATCTAAGAAAAGCCAGGAAAAATAAGTTATGAAGAAAAGGAAACTTTAATCATCCATAACTGAAAATTTATTTAATTCATGGTTGATTGTATTTTTGATAAGATTTGTTCCAAGATGATTTACTGGTAACATTGTTATAAACTCATTTTAAAAAAGTTCAAAATAGGATTTCCAGCCGGAGAAAGTATACGTACGTGAGGTGATGCTGTATTATTTTCATTTTACAAAAAATGCTGTTTATTATAGAAAGTCTATAATGAACAAGCATTATTTTTTTTATTCAATTTTTTTACAGGAGACAATTAATCAGGACGCAGTAATTTTAAGATTTTTTATGGTCGTCGACGTTTTAATCCAAAATAATACAATCTGCCA